AAAAAAAAAACCAAGAGAGTTTATCATGCAGTCATCAAAAAGAATTAGCTAAAATTGGAAGCAATCATACATTCCTCATTCTCCTCCTGGAGGCCACATCCCTTGTGAACTCCTTCCCACACTAGCTGTGCCCTCAAACCCCCCTCTTCCCACACTTGAATCTAGTCTCCATGCATGGAGCCTGTGTCTGGGCTTTGAAAGTCGATGAAGGACATTTTATGCCATTTACCGTGGACATAATATGTGCTGCTCCAGATCAAAAGAAAATTTTTTTTATATCTGTAATGCTACTTCTAGTTTAATGGCCTTTCCCTTTAAGGACATTTAAAGGTCCTAAAATAAATTCCTAAAGGTCTAAGATCATGACTTCAAATACACTATTTTAAGTCATCATGGCATAAAGGGAAGAGCATTGAATTTGGAGAGTCAAGGGACCTGGCCTCACAACCAAGCTCTGACACTTACTATGTAACCAAAGGCAAATCACTGAACCTCCCTGGGCCTCAGTTTCTTCACCTATAAAATGAGGTGTGGGACTTCTAGCTCTAAACCTATGATCCTATGATCCATGGAGATATGATGCTTTCAAAAAGATAAACACTAAAGTTGTCTAAAGATAAAAGAAAGGTTTTCAATCTAGGTACCCTTGCTCAAAGAGTACAAAAGGACTACAGACATTTTGAAGTGAACTTCTGGAGAAGTCATTGGAATTTGAATGGGTTAAAAGAACAAAAGTACAAGACAGAATTTTAAGCAGTTTAAACTTACATAGACTAACACTTAAACCTAAATTTCACGTAGCTTATGTCTAAACTTGGCACTGTCCCCAACCTGAAATAATATACACATATTTAAACATCCTAACATGTTTCAAGATACATACTGGTTCTCACCATGCAAAGTTTTTTGATTTTGTTCTTATCATCCTCTATAACAAAGCTAATAAACATTTATGTGAAAATTTTTTTTCTGTTAATTTGACTGAGGTTAGGCCTGGGATAATGCAAACAGACAATTAATCCAGTAAAGAAACAACATTTTTTATATATCACAGCTTGCCCATTAAATTGTTCAATTGAAAGCCAATTAAGGAAAGACACACGAGTAAAAAGGAGAACCAGATTCGGGGATGCAGAGTACAAAGGAAGTTAGCATAATACATTACAGTTAGATTGGTTTTGTTTGCTTTCAGGGGTGGGATGGAGATCAGAAATTGTGTGACTTATCCAAGGCCACACAACTAATTAAATGTAGAACCAGAGAAGTACCCAAGTCTCCTGACTTTCACTCCACTGATTTTTCTAGTACATCTCCGTATCTCAAGTTCATTAAGCTTAAGCTACTAAATGATTAAAAAAAAACTGAGAAAAAATAATGATTTTTTTTTGAAGACTCTGGAATTCACTTAACTTCATGGTAAAGCGTATTAACTCTACTTTAGAGTTAAGAGAAAGCACATGCTAACATAGCTGTAATTTTTGCAGCTCTGGAAAATACTGGACACTAAGTGGTGTCAAATATGTGCTCAGTTAAAGGGGTAAGTGGAGTGGTTACACATGAGGCTGAGATCTCAGGGCACCTGAGTGAAGGCTGGGGAAACCATGGAGACATGTCAGAATGGAAAAAGTACTCTCGTACTCCTCCATCGTGGTAGCTTCCTATGTTAGCTACTTATTTTTGCTAACTAGGTTAGAATGCAGTTTCCATGTTGCTGTTGTTGTCCAGTTGTTTCAGTCCCAACTCTTTGTGAACCTGTTTGGGGTTCTCTTGGCAAAGATACTGGGGTAGTTTGCCATTTCCTTCTCTAGCTCATTTTATAGATGAGCAAATTGAGGCAAACAGAATTAAGTGACTTGCCCAGGGTCACACACACTAATAAGCGTCTGACGCCAGATTTGAACTCATGAAGATGAGTCTTCTGACTTCAGGTCCAGCACTCTTTCTACTGTGCCACCTACCTGCCCTTTCTATGTTGTTAAAGGACTTTAAGTGATTTTAATGCCTTGGGGGATAAAGCCCTAGTCACTTCACACTAATTATGCATTGGCATTCTAGATAGCAAACCTTCAAAATTGAGTCCTGTGATAACCCTAAATGATTTATTTAGGAAAATGATAACTCTACATGCCTCCCAAAGCCACCCCTACTAGAATAAAAGGAAAGGCTGCCCTAGGAACTCTATATTAGGAAGGAATATGGCACTAACAGCTGGTGCCAGAAAAGAATTTCAGTATTTCTATGTCCAATCAACTCCCCAAATGCCCTTTCTCCTCCCCCCAAAGCATTTGTTCATTCATTTGTTTACTTGTTGAACTACAATATAAGCTTTACAAGGTCAGGGACTCTGTCTTATTCACATTTTGGATCACCCACTAACAGCTTAGCACAGTGTTCTGCACACAGAAGATATATAATAAATGCTTGTCAAATAGATGACTACCCAATAATCATGCCCTCAATTCTAAGTGTTTATTTGCATTCAATTCAGATTACATATTGAGATATTTTAATATATACTACTAAGCTTTGTGAGGTTTGGGCATGTGTCTTAGTCATTCTGTACCCCCTCAATCTTCTTAAACTTAGCACAGTACTCACTAAATTGCTGATGTGTGAATGAATGAATGAGATATTATTCCAGGGGCTGTGCACATTAATATAAACACATAATCATGCTCCTTTTCCCTCTCCTAGTCTTTGTGTTTTTTTTCCCCTTTTTTCTTCCCTTCCCCCCCCACCCTAGAGAGAGCTATCATTAGACACAAATATGTGTGTATCTATATCTATATACATATACACATACATACACAGATGTATAAAAAAAACTTTGTGTGTGGATATATTTATATATCTATATCTATATCTATATATATCTCATATATGTCAAACCATTCTATACATACTTACTTCTATTTTTCAGTTCTTTTTCTAGATGGAGATAGCATCTTCTTTCATATATCCTTTGTAATTAATTTGAGTATAATAGTCAAAATGACTTAGTCACTCAAAGTTGTTATTAAACTGCCTATACCAGTCTTTGGGTTTTACTATGCACAGGGCCATCAAACCATTTCACGCCAGTTAACTTGAAAAGCACATTCTGAATGACTAGTATACCTAGGAGATTAGACAGTTTTCCCCCTTTCTGCCACCCATACCAAAGACATTTGAGCTATCACAGTGAGTGTTTTTATTTCCTTTTATCAGACAGGGGTCAGATAAGGGAGAATCTAGACAGAGAGCTAAAGATTCCTTCTTTTACAGTTGGCATGTAACATCCAAATAGCCCCTGAACAAACTGGCCGTCCTCCTTAATTCTGCTTCTTTCCCTTCTTAATTTCCTTCAATGTAAGCAAGAACGGAGAAATGATATAACATGGAATTAAAGCAGGTTGTGGGGGTGAGGAATGGATAGAAAAAGAAGGGAGGAGAAGAATGATGCAAACTTTGATAGAAATCTAGACATTTTGAAGAGAGTTGGGTCTATGAAGAAAGAGAATAAGTTCCGTATTGGACACAAAAAGCTCCAGATATCGCTGAGACATCTTGTTTGAAATGTCCAACAGGCTATTAATAATGAGGGATGAAATCTCAGGAGAGAGAATGCATAGCATCAGTATGGTGAGATCCTGGACAAATAGGCCAAAAGCCTGCCTATGGGAAGATAAATGGGTCCAAGTCAGAAACACAGAAGGCCAAAACTTTTGTGCTGGTAAACAGTGGGACTGTGTCCAGGAGTGTCCACTACCCTCATACTTGCAGCCTGGAAGAACTAGAGAGGCTCAGTCTCCAAAAGGAAAAAAAAAATCAATGGAATCTAAGGCATTAAACTAAACCCATTAATGAACAAAAACTTGAGAACGGTTACGTGTTATTTAAGATAAAGAAGCCATTTCCTTTTCTGTGGCCAGCTGGGAATAAGGAAATAAAGACATGGAGAAAAGGTGGTAGCAGAATAGGGAAAACTCTATTGACCTGGGCTGGATGGTGGAAGAACCTAGTAGGGGACAAGAGAGACAACAGTTCCATGGTTAGAACTGGTATGAGCAATGGGATTTGCAGCTCACTTTGGAAACTCTGCTTTTAAGTAGTAGGACAAACAAAGCTACTCTAAACATACATATCTCATCTTATTCTCACAAATTTGTACTGGAACATGTGCATATTCTGAGTATTGTAGCTGATACCTCTCAGACGGAGAGTATTTGGGTACAAGTGTTTGAGTGTTTAAGCACAAAAAATAATTGTACTAGTCTTTGCATAAGCTAGTTTCTGTGAGTTCATACCTATGTTAAAACCTTCAAAAATATAGGGAATTGGCCAGTATTAACATTGGTGAAGGAACTTCAAAGGGAGGAAACTCCCTCTAAAAATGCAAGTTGTCACCTTCTCAGCAACTTATAGTCCTAGAAAATTGTCTAGAGTTAGATGAATTACCCAGAGTCATACAGTCAGAGGTAGGACTTGAAACCAGATTCTGCTAGCTGTATTGGTGACTCTCTATCCACTATGCCACAATGTCTATCTAACTTTGTTTTATACACACACACACACACACACACACACACACACACACACACACACTGTTTGTGTGCGTATATATACATATACATATATACAGATACATACATATATACATATATGTGTGTGTGCACACATGTACTCATGTATATACATATGTAAACGATTAATTTTAATACTGAATATTTAACATTATTTCATTATTAGACATCTCAAGTAACTTAGCTTTTCATGAAACACCATCTTAAAAGTTTCATTCCTTCTATCAAAACATAGTTTCAGGTTTCATTAATTTTTTTGGGGGGGGGTTAGGCAATGGGGTTAAATGACTTGCCCAGGGTCACACAGCTAGTAAGTGTTATGTGTCTGAGGCTGGATTTGAACACCTAGCTGTCCCAAGGTTTCATTAATTTTAAAAGCCTGAAAAAAAAAGTCTAGTTGTCTGTGGCAGGCAAAGCCGCAGACATCATTTCACTTACAGCTAAGTGCAGCGGGCTCTTCGTGGCATTGCAGTCGGATTCCTCAAAACTGTTGTTGGTTCTTTCCAAAAGCTGCAGAGACAGAAAGAGAAGAGTGGCTCATGAATCTTCCCATTTACATAAAATTCTGTTTCCTGGATGCTAATGTTGGTATAGAGAAGAAAAAGAGCTTCAGAAAATTAAGTAATGCTTCATCCTGTTTGAGGCAGTAGGAGAAATTCAGTGAAATTATCTCCAAAACAGAAACTTTAAAGACATTGGAATGGAAGCTCCTTGAGGGCAGGGATGGTTTCATTTTTTTCCTTTATATCTCAGCATCTATCACAGTGCCTTTTTTGTATGTGTAAATAATATTTTATTTTTTTTCCAATTACATGTAAAGATAGTTTTCAACATTCATTTTTTATAAGATTTTGAATTCCAATTTTTTCTCCCTCCCCTTCCCCCTCCCTGAGACAGCAAGTAATTTGACACAGGTCATACACGTGCCATCATGTTAAACATATTTCCACACTAGTCATGTTGTGAAAGAAGAAATGGAACAAGGGAAAAAACACAAAGAAAAAAAACCCCAAAAATGAAAATAGTATGCTTCAATCTGCATTTAGACTCCATAGCTCTTGCTCTAGATGTGGATAGCATTTCAAATCATGAGTCTTTTGGAATTGTCTTGGATCACTGTATTGCTGAGAAGAGCTAAGTCTATCATAGTTGATCATCACACAGTGTTAGCACAGTGCCTTGAACACAGTAGGAACTTAATAAGTACTTGCTGAATTGAGTTTCAACTTATTTACTTTATCAAGGACCAATATTTCCTATTCAAAAAAGTCCTTGAGTTTAAACACACACCCAGACATGTACTTAGCTTTCTATTATGGTGTACAGCAACCTAAAAACTTAAAAAACAATGCTCAGTTTAACACTAGACTCTTTTTGATGAATTTTGGACAAAGCACAATAATAATAGAATGGCGATTGTCATTTGCATCTTTAGCAGACCATTCAAACTGTTATGTAAAATCAGCAACTAAAATGATAATTTTAAACTTGATAAAAATACAACAGAAGTAATCACAATGGCAGCATTGGGACATTGATAAGTCTAAGTGCATTGTGGTGTTCTTTCTTTTTTGACTGAATGCTTTCAAAGAGAATCTGGAACTTTAGCAATCTTGGATTTCTTTGTATAATGAGAATACATTTAATTTTAGCTTGGACACAGATACCTTTGGAAAAAACTCTCATAAACATTTGAAATGAGCTTGGGCTGTGACAGAATTTAGGGACAGCTGTTCTTCTGTCTTTTTTTTTTTTTTAAAGCATTATCACCTGCAAAGCTTCCGGGAATTGACCCTGTTGTACCAACCCAAATCCTGTCCTAGCTTGAACTTTTTAATCAAAGGAGAACAGAATCACTTTATCTACCATCATAAACATGATGAACAAGGACAAGAAGACAATATACTGTTTATAGCAACATTCCAGGCATGTTTCCAGAATATTTATTTTTTAATAGACTTCTTTCACCCTACAAATAAAATACTTTGATCATTCCATGCCAGAGTCAAAGTTCTTTAGAAGCACTTAGTATTTTTTTTTCTTTTTTTGCTGGGTTGGGGGTATGGGTGTATGGGTGTATGGGTGTGTGTGTGTGTGTTGTGGTGTGTGTGTGTGTGTGTGAGAGAGAGAGAGAGAGAGAGAGAGAGAGAGAGAGAGAGAGAAAGAGAGAGAGAGAGAGAGAGAGAGAGAAAGAGAGAGAGAGAGAGAGAGAGAAGAGAGAGAGAGAGAGAGAGAGAGAGAGAGAGAGAGAGAGAGAGAGAGAGAGAGAGAGATATGGGAGAACCTTAGAACAAAACACAGTCCAATGTACAATGGTTCTTAGAATGGAGTCCTGAAAGAATACAGTCTCTGTAAGTGTTTGCTTTGGAAGTTCTCTGGTGTCCCTGCAGTTATCAAATGAGGCTGGCAAAGGGTTCATCCACCCTGGGGGCAGGGCAGGATGGAAGAAATAATAGATCCTTCTCAGCTGAGTCAAAGTTGCCCTGGCTTCTCTGCCTTTGATCTTAAGCTACAGGCCACTGCATTTCACCATTATGGGATTTCAATACTTTGCCTATAAGAGAAAAGCAAAATACCATTCTGTCTTCATTCAATTTCTTCCAAATGATAAACTTCCCAGATGGGGATTTAAAGAACCAGATTCTCTCTCTCCTGGGAAAAAGCCAATCGCAAATTCAAACTACATGTAAGAGGCAGCTAGATAGTACAATGGATAGGGTGTTGGACTTGGAGTCAGGAAGGTCTAAGTTCAAATCTGGCCTCATATCACTAGCTGTGTGATGCAGGCAAATTGCTTAACCCAGTTGCCTCACATCTGCCTCCCAGAGTTATTGTGAGGGGAAAGTACAATAATTATAAAGTGCTTTGCAAACACTCTCTCTCTCTCCATATATATATATATATGTGTGTGTGTGTGTGTGTGTGTGTATATATATATATATGTATATGTATATATGTATATATGTGTGTGTATATATGTATATATACATATATATATGTATATGTATATATGTATATATGTGTGTGTATATATGTATATATACATGCACACACATACATATAGATACATACATGTTTACATATATATCTGTAACAGGAAAATATCCCTTCTTTTCTACCATTTCCCCTCCCTTTCAGTTGAACTTGTCTTAATTATTTCTATTAGTTTAAAAATCACAATCGTAAAGATAATTTGAGGGTATGATCTGTGCTGCTTGCCACAGGCATCAAAATTACCAATTATAGTTCTAACAAATACCATCCTGAAACTTAATCCATTTTATTTCACTTTGGAAGGTTATATGGAAAATATTAACTGGCTACTACAACACAAATGTGAAGCCAGGTCTCAGTGTAATTAGCAGTTATGCAACCCAAACAGCTGAAAGATTTCCCACTTCACTCTGATATTTTCACTGTAACCAGAAAACAGTAGGATTGCAGACAGAGGAGGTGACAGGTAGAAAAGGAACTTCCCTAGTATTTTGGTCTTGCTTTGGGTGCATCTTCAGCAATCCTTCCTAATCTTTGAGATGTTCATCCAAGGACAATGATTTCTCTAGAGTTACAAAGCAATTAATGTCCATATTAACTGAAATATAGATTTGACAACACTCCCTTATTTTCCAGTTTCTGTTGTGTGTGAGCATTTCTATGAGAAGTAAGGAGAGGTGACTTTCAAGTGATTTATTTGAAGGTGGGATCTATATTTATAATTTCTTTTCCTTTAAGATTGCAAATTGGAAGCTTAAATATCTTTTAAAAATTCAGGGGAATAATGACCATTATGTGGGCTACTGTAGCCCCTGTTCTTTTCTCCTTCTGCATCACTATCGACACAAACCCAAGAGGAGTTCAGGGTTTTTTTTTTTTGGGGGGGGAGGTGTAGTGGGGGGGGCTGTGGATAGAGAGGGTCTCTGTGGATCCTATTTTGTTTTAGGAACCTATTATTTGCATTAAAGACAACTGCTTCCTGTATCTGCCATTCTCCCAGAAGCTTCTCTCTATCCCTTTTCACTCTATATAGTTCTTTATTCTCTTAGCCACATTTGTTTAGTGTTTTCTGCCAAACACTATCTGGCCATAGTATTCTGGAAAATGTAGTTTTTTCCTGCCATTGTCATATCCACTACATTCTCCTCTGGTTAAAAATTTGTTGTCTCTGTAATCTAAACTGGATAAACATGCATAGGTTTAGGTGCATATTATATAAGATGAAATTACATATAATACAGTTACTTGCAATTTAACCCATATACACATATGAATCACATGCTGGAATATATTATGTAGCATTATATATTATGACTGCATACAGTTCAACTTATAATAATACATTCTCTGATCTAAGCTGTCTCAAAAATAGCACAAAGCCTTGGGCTAACAGATATAGCCAAGCTACATGAGAAGTCTTCTAGCCCAGGGACATTCTATGTCAGCTTGAATATTGGTTAGACAGTCCAGGTACTTCCGAGGCAATGTCCACATCATTTCTGCACCTTTAGTCTCAGTACACCTTGTAGTTAAGTCATTATTCTCAACTCTGTGTCCATTAGACCCTTGTTCACCTACACAACCCAATCAGGTTGGTGCAACTTCCATGGATGTCACGTGTTCAGAAAGCCTTAGGTACTTCCGTTCACCAATACATTGTCTTTGTATTCCTGCCTAGCCTAGAACCTGCAAATCCTACTTTGGTTTAGGAACCTTCCATTGCTTGCCCTAAAAGATAACTTCTACCTATGTCTGCCATTCCCTTGAAAACTTCTCTTCCCCCTCTTCCTTCCTCATTTTTTTTTTGGGGGGAGGGGGTGCTTTTTCAGTCTACAGCATCACAGGAAATGTATTTTCCTAATAGCACCATTTCTACTAGACCTAAAACAACAAATCACATGTCTATAGTGCTACCAGGTTCACAAAGTGCTTTCCTCACAACAAATCCCTAAGGTAGACACTTCAAGTACTGTATCACCATCTTAAGATGAGAAACTGAGGCAAAGAGAGAGTAAGTGATTTTCTAAGGCTCACAAAGTTAATGAATACTGAAGTTGAGACTTGAAATCAGGTCTTCTGACTCCAAGGCTCTTTCCATCAAGCACATGCTGCCACCAACTCATAAATACAGGATACAAATGTATACATTATTCTCAGGTGCAAGTTGTAGGTTTAATATAACACTTACAAACCTAAATAATACAATCAATATTCTTTCAGTTATACAATAAAACCCAAATTTCTTAGAAAGGTGACCATCATGTAAGTCAACAATTTAATGGAATGGCTACTGTCACATATTCTTTATCTGACTTATTGTTATTCTTCTTCCTCTCCAAAATTCTGGCTCCTTGCTCACAACATATCATATCTGGAGTGTCTACTAATTCCTGTTATTGTGTCAGATACAATCAACTGTACAGTTCCCATTCTTTTCCCCATGCTCTCATTCCTATGTTCAACTAGACTTTTTCTGAGTAGGGAAGCAGAAAGTCCTCACCTCTGGGCATCATAGA